CACACACACACACACACACACACACAGGGTGATAGAAAGTGGCACAAAGATATTACAGTCAACGACGTGATAAAATTAATGGGCCATAAACTTGCATGCATTGCGTGCAAAAACTGGGTCATTTAAAGAATATTTGATTTTATGAAACCTGTCTTGTTCCTCGCCATTCATCTTTCACAGCAACTCTGCCCCAGTTAGGTCTATTGTTTAGAAAGAAAAACATATGATTTGGTGCAATATTAAAGCCTTTGTGCTTGAAAAATATAATAAGAATAATTTGGTCAAGGCAAGATGAGGAGACTATCCGAGCGTGTCAATTTATTGGGAGACTACAATAATATGACACACTTATTAATGATTGAAAATTTAGACAAAATGCACTTTATTTTGCATGTATTTTATTTAGACCCCAGTTCAGCAAATTTCCCAGTAAGATAAATCAGCATATGACATAAATAGTACTCATTGTTTCACTATAAAACCTTTAAAACCATTCATATGTGTTACCTACCCGAAACACAGCAACACATTGTGTAGAGTGTTCACAGCAGAGCATTTAGCATCTACAGAGATGTTTTTCTTAAGAGCTGAAGGAAACCAAACACGAAAGTCACAGAAAGGTAAACACTGGTCCTCAGGTGGGCACCACCTTAATGTCAAATAAGTGCATTTTAATTTAAAGTGTAACTGTTTGCGAACCAGTCTACTATCTCAGCTCCATATACTCTGGATGATTCTGGTAACACCTACTGGTTATCTGTGCAGCTGATGCTTTAAGCTGCAGGTCCCAGAATGCAAAGCCGTTCAACCAGAAGTGACAGAGTTGCTCATTCTGAGCTGATCTTGAGCACAATTTGTGTGTATTGCGGATAGACGAGCGGACGCCTTGCTATGGTACATTCTTATCAGAGTGTAGAGATAATAAATGCTAAATACTATTTGATATATATATGAAATTTACAAGATCATGCATACACACTGACCTTCTGTAATTAAGGCCCCAGTCAACTGGCTTTAGTGAACCCCCCTGGCAACCATCTTCACTAGGGAAAAGTTGCTGGAGGTCGCTGGTAGTCGCTGGCGTGGGATCGATTGTAAAGAGGCCGCACTGTCACCTGTAGCTCGCATGTTATGCATCGACTCATCTGCGAACAGTCGCACACTTCTCGCTAAGCAGTTGAGAAACTTAAGTGTCCAATGCAAATCGGAGACGACTGACTTTTAGAACAAACGTGACGCTTTTTCAAAATGGGTTGTTTGCAGCAGTAAGCAGTGTGAAATTTACACGTTTATTGCGGAAGTAGAAGAAGACAAAATCCATCTCATTTGACAAGTCCACTTCTGGAGACACAAACAAGAGAAACTGTTTAACAGAAAACTCGTGTACATAAGTAACAGGAGCCGTCAACTCTACGAGCAAAAAGACTTTGGAGATAAAAAATAAATGGTTGTACAAATATCAGACACATAAAGAAGTGTCAGAAGAAGAGGATTTACTAAAGAAAAAAGTCTAGAATGATAATAAGAAATGCATTCTG